GCCAGCTATTGCATCCAGAACTCAGTATCAGACCAGAGAGTCACAGTGCCTCTAAGGGATACTGATTGAATTTCCAAAAAGTCTAATAGGAGGTTAATGACTGTTTTCAGAATCAATGCACTTGGTTGCTGTGTCAGAAACACCATGAATTCAGAACCACAAAGGATGTGCCTAAGAAAGGATGTACCTCATTGTCAGAGGTTCTCATTGACTAAAAATAGCCATAGAGACCTGAGTCTTGTGTGAAATAGATGTGGGAGCACCTTTCATAGTTGTAAAGAGCTGAAAGTTTCTCCTTGACTATTATCTGAGCTACTTTTCTTTCATTGCTGAGACAAAATATGTGACTCAAAATTAAGGAAGGAGAAATTTATTTAGCTCGTAGTTTGTGGAGGTTTCAGTCTGGAACCTGCTGGTCTAAGGAGGGTGGAATGCACAGGAGCAACAATGCAAAAGCTGCAAGAGAAAAATGCAGAGGGGAGAGCAAGCCTCTTTTCTTGACTTTATAGCAAGCAGGCTACCAGCCCCCTGCTGCGGGTGCAGCATTCGCACCATCTCTGTGCCCTGCTCTTGCACAGAATGAGGATTTTTATAATGTGAAGACCCTCGGCCCTGCTGAGTAGCTCCATTAAACTTCTAACCTTTTCATGTTGACACAGTGTGTCAACCATTGCAACTCTGAAGATGACAGACCACTGTGCATTTACCTAGCTGGTCCCAAAAACGTGACTAGCCCTAACCCTAACCCTAACCCTAACCCTAACCCTAACCCTAACCCTAACCCTAGCCCTAACTCACAGTTTTGCACACTGAATTGGTTTATAAGATCACATTCAGAAACCTTAGTTCCATGCTCCACTGTGAGCCTTGTCCAAGTGTCATCCATTGAATCCATGCCTCTGTCTGTACCCAGTGAGTCTTGTTGGACAGTGCCCTTTGTGATGAAGGGAAATATTTTTCTGTCTTCTCAGGCTAATAGCTGTGCAAATGCTCTTGAAGAGATAGGAAAAATATCTATTCACAGAATCTGCAAATGTGGAAGACCCAAGGAGAATTGTCTCCAGTCATTAAGTATCTTTTACAAATATAATGAACCTCTGAAATGGTGATGAATAGGATGTTTTCTTGATTCTTGAACCCACATTAAATTGTACTGTTTAGAAAATAATTTGAGCAACAATTTTAGCAAACCTAGATCTCAATCACAGGAGAGAATTCTTGCTACTTTTTCATAAAATATTTATATTTAGACAGTAAATATGTATAATAACATGTATGTAGTCTGACATAGCACAGTGATCTACATGAGCAGTATTAGATATCATGAAAAATTTTGCATGTAGGCATATTAGTATCTGTTTTCTAATAGTCTTGTTTTTTAGTTTCTCAAAGTTGAATTATAGCAGAATAATTTTTTCTGTGGTCAAAAGCCAAATGTTCGTATATCTAATGATGTGTATCTAATGTTTAGCCACCAACATACAGTTACAAATGTATCTAAGTTTATTTTCAACGTATAAGCAAATATAGTAGTAGTTTTCTAGTACCAGGATGACTTCAGAGCTAAAGAATATCCAAATGAAGCCTTTCTTAGAAATAACTAAAATTCATATAAATATGCAGTGCTGTGCATAACTTACAAATATACATTCTAAAAACAGTGTTATGTTTATAACTTTGGCCACTTTCTCCTAATATTTTGAAAGTTTATTTCCCTCACTGTACCAGGTAATGCCAAATATTCTTGATATTAATAAATTTTTATTCATATGAATCAATGTTGGTAATATATTTTGGTTATGACTATAATTACTAAAAGCACCTTTAGCACTTTCTATTAAGTCTCATTTTTTTGTACTTCTAGAAATACAAAGAATCATTAACAAATTACTCTGGCATCCTATAGAAAATACATGACCTTACAGTCAAATAATAAAAAGCCTTTTCCAAGTGTTCTGTACTTTTAAATATCACTTTTTTAAAAAGCGTTTTTTCCAGAATATATGTAGGCTTTTCAGGTAAAAACAGTCCTTTCACATCTGTCTGATAAGACAAAGAGGTCACTGTTCTGTCGGAGACCTTGTCCTGCTACAAGAGAAAATGGCTACATTTTCAGGGAACAGAAAAATGAAATGGTTTGGCAGTGTTTTGAGTGGGGGAAGCAGTAATTGTCCATATGAAAATCAGTAAAAGTCGGGCTCCTTGCCGACCACCATGGTCCCTGGCTGTCCACTGCCTTTTGTGTTGCTCTGTCTTTCACAGCTTCTGTTCACTGTAGCGCTTTGCATCGGAGTGAGAATACTAATCTGATCATAGCTGATGTGTGGTGGCCCTTGATCCTCCCCAGAGGATCTGCATTTTTCTTTGTCATTCAAAACAATTTAGAATTCTGAGTCCTGAATCTTGTTGTCATTTTGTATCAAATAGCAATTCTTTTTTTTAACCCATCCCTCATCAAATGTGTGCATTACCCATTATAAACAAAAAAGACCATTTTGTCATATAAGTCAATGGGAGTTTGCTGAATTCCTGGCATGATTTAAGAAGCAGTTAACAGAGCAGCTTAAATATATCCTACATAAAAATATAACGTTTTTTAAATTGACTTTTCCATAAGAATCAAAGCAAGTGCCCTCTATCTCAACTCTTTCATTTAAAAATCTGACATCTCTTCCTTCCCTTTACTGTAGTGCCCCACCCCTGAACTATAGCCACTGTTTCTACACAGCTGTTTCTTTGTTTTTTTGTTTTTTTTTTTAATTTTAAAGAGGATAAAACCAAGGAAAATAAAACAGGATAAAGCCAATCAAAATAAACCAGTAAAAATGATAAAGTACTTCAAAACTTTATGAAATCAACAATAGTTACCATAATGCCTTTTGTTGTCTTCAAAATAGCTGCAGATACCTTTAGACATAGTAAATATCAAACAGAACAGAATAGAATGGAAACAATAAATTAGAACAATGAATGCAACAAAGGACTTGCAAACAAGCCAAAAGTAAATCCAAAATGGCTACTATAATATGTCTTGCTATATTGTAAATAGCTGTTCATGCCATCAGATAATCAAAACAAAAGAGAATAAACCCAACTCAACAAAACCATGGCGTCCAGGAAGGGATCACTTCCTGGTGAGGCCTGGTTCTCTCCCTCTGCAGTCCATGAGTGGTGCTGACTCATGGAGAAAGGCTTGGATCTGGCTGTCCCCACTCTGGCAGCGGCCTGCACATGGCACAGTTTTCAGGAGGGAGGGTCACCTCATGGTGAGGCCTGGTTCTTTCCCTCCCTGCATAGCCATTTTTAAACTTCGTATTTCTCTGTAATAATTAGGAGAAACACTAATGGACCTCATGAGAGAGCTGCTTCTCTCTCTCTCTTTTCAGTAATATTCCATCTAGAACTACTGACATATTAAGTTTTTTAACTGACAAAACTGCTTATTATGTACAACATGATTGTTTGAAATATGCAATTTGGAATGGATAAATCAAGCTTATTATCATATATGGTACATCAACTCTTATTCATGTTTTGAGATAACAATGCTTAGAACTACTCTTGGCAAATTTCAAGAATATAATACAGTTATGAACTAGAGCTGCCATGTTATACAATAGGTCTTCTGAACTCATTTTTCCTGCCTGATAAACAGCAATATTTCACCAGATATGTCCGTAGCACAGATATAATAATCTCGGCCTTGAAGAATCTGACAGAATACTTAGCAGTTGTGTAAAGGTACCTTAGTGGCATGATATTCCAATAACACTAACTTGATGGGATTTCCTAAGACTGAGTGCCCTGGGTAAATGTCTTTCATTGCACTACTTGGTAGTAGTCAGAATGTCTTACTTGTATCTTTCCCAGGCATTTTCAAAAGCAGCCAAGACATTGCAACTATGTACATATACTGCAGAAACTTTGTATTGCCTCAAAATATATTTCATTCTAGTTTTAAAGTAAAAATACATTTATCTACTTTATAATTCTTTTAAAAAATGAATTAGTCACTTCTCTGAACATCTCATTTTTATAAAGATAAAAAACCCTGTAGAACCACAAAGTTTACTGTAAGTTATATCACATACTGCAATTAAACAAATATCATATAATTACACCTTTTTTCCCCAATACTAGAGATTGAATTCAGGGTCTCCACTATAAGCCATATCCCTATCCCATTTTAATTTTTTTTTGAAATAGATTCCCACTAACTTATTAAATTGGCCAAGCTGGGCTTTACTTACAATCTTCCTGCTTCAGGCCTCTGAGAGTTCTAGGGTTGTAGGCATATGCCATTTTACTCAGGTCAGATAACTGAATTTTAAATATATAACACTATTATAATTAGTATATTTTCACTGTCAAAGAATAAAATAAACTTGGAAATTTTATAAATGAAACAAAAATGTTTCCTAGTGGAAAGGAAATTTTTAAAAATTCAAATTTAAGACGTATAAATTTATTATTTTTCATTCAAACAATTGAAATATAGAATAGTGATTTTCTTCCCATTCATACAGAGGATTTCTGAATTTTGCAGAAAACATAAGCAAGGGCTAAAATATGTACAGTGCTCAAAGAAAATCTGATACTAGCATGAATTTTCAATAATAATGTTTGGTAGAAAGATATGATAATTTGCATGTGAGGGGTCAAAGGATGATTTCCTTTGATTACACCTAGATTCGGCTCAAAGTCATGGTTATAAACAAATGGTTCCACACATAGGACAATCTGTACCTCATTTTTTAGAGCACTCAGCACTCAAGTTTTCACTTTATCCAAAGTCTGGGTATGAAATTCGTCTCCCACTTTTCAGTGTGTTTGCCTTGCACAGATGCAGATCCTCTTCCACTAGCAAGTAGCAAATTTCCTGTACATGAAAATTTTGTTATGCTTTGTCTGCATTGGTAGTGAATAAGACAATTTAAAGGAAACTGTCTAAAAGTTACCCAAGCTAAGTTTTGTACATTTGAATGTTATTATTTGTACAGGCTGCATTAGAAAGAGAATGGCTAACTTTAGATTCCACTCGCTTCCCTTCACAAACACTGCTGCTCTCCAACCAGCTGCACCGGCCAAAGGTAACATGTCATGGAAACTTCTGAGAGCTCCATCTTTGCTCGTTTCTTAGGGTTATGCTATGCCGCAGTGATTAATAATACAATTTATTGACTTGAAAAACATAATTACTTTTAGAATCCTTTGACTTCCTCCTCCTTCCCAGATGTAATATTTCATGTAACTTTTCTTTCATTTGTTCCTAATTTTTTTTTTTTTATTTTGGATTTCTTTCAACACTTTATTTCACAGTAGCAAAGAAAAAAAAAGAAAGAAAATGATATGCTTCAGCTGCATATCTGGCAGTGGACTACCCTCACTAGTTGACAGCAGTTTAAAAATACAAAAATATGCTATTAGAGGGCAACAGCTGAAGATTCTCAGTCAGAGGTCAATGGACTGCAATCTCTGTTATTTATTTGATAATCTTTGAAGTTTTTGTTTTCCAAGATTTTTAAGATCTTTGCAGTTAATCATTTTTGTATATAGTGTTGTGAGCTATTCCAAAATGTGTGTTCTCCACCATTGTAATGAAAGATATGTGTTTATTCCAGAACTTTTAATTGATTAAAATGTTTAATTTTTAATGAGGCTACATAGTAATATGTACATAAAAACATAAATGCTAGCATACTCTAACTTAATGCATATTTATATTTTTTTGAAAAAGATGCTTGGAACCTTAAAATATGATGATACTTCACTTAATTTACCAAACCATCGAGCTCAAGCATGGATGTGTAATGAAAAAGAAAATTTGTTCTCATCAGTACACACACATTTAAATAGCAGGTAAGCTAACAGACTTAGGGCATCAGCCTGTGAATGACACAAATATGATATTCCTCCCACAAGTAGTACAATTAAGAAAAACAAGTGTGAATTTACTTGTTTTGAAGATGCAACAATGTTTAATGTTTAAAATCATGCCTTTGAGATTTTACAGTGAGAAAAGTATGCAAGGTGCATCAAAACAATGGCAAAACTTATGTGATGGTGAAATATTGTAATTAACTGTTGTAAGCAAGTGGATATTTATGGCTTTATAGGTAGAGATAACGACTGGAACAAAATTCCCAGTGTCGCATTACTTTTGCAAAAGGATTGAAATATGCTTTAAGTAATTGAAATGTAAACATTTTAAATTAATGACAGACTTTTATTACTTTTCAAGATAAAGTTTTCCTCCAACTTAAATGGATTTTGTTTCCAAGTTTGCAACAACCTAAGCAGCTTTTAGCTTTAAATAGTGCTGATATACGTGTGCTGATTCATTTAAAAGTCATGTATTTCCGTTGCCAGATCAGAAAATAGAACATTATCCTGGACACCTGAATCAAAAACCAGTAGAAAGAGTTTACTACAATCTGAAAAAGAAGAAAAAATTTCAGAAGAATGGTATGTGGTCTGTTTTACCCTAAAAATTATAAGAAATTCAAAGACTTACAAATATCCAAGGCATATATTTTTCAGGATTCAAGAGTGCTTTTCTTTTGATTTCTAAGAAACTAACCATCTACTTAAATTGCAAGTTTCATGAATTGAATAAAATTAATTTTGATGTGATATAATTCACATATATATTTATATATGTATACATAACTAAATGTCGTCTGCATTTTTTGCCTTATTAAATTTATCTTTTCATAGGGGTTTTAAGGATATTTCTACTGCTCAGCAAATGCTAAAGAGGGCACATAAAATGAAATCAAAGAAATTAAAGAAAAATTTAGGTGAGTAATTAAGGGTCTTTGACTAGTAACTTTTTGTCATATTAAAAATGAATTCTTTTAAAGTATATTTTCTAAATTATATTTAGTAAGGACAGAAATGAATGCACAGATGAATATTTAAGATAATGATGGAAAAAGTAAAGTTGAGAAAATTATGCTATTACTATGTTTATTACACTCAAATATTCTCTGTTATTTTTCCTCTATTTTTGTACAGTTTGCTGGTGTTTATTCTGTTGTGCAGTAAGAATTATCATTTCATTTCTTTCTAAACTGATTCATTTTGGAGAATGTTGATTCAAAAGAAGACCTGCTTCATACATGTGCTTATTCCTTTGCATGATTTTAAATTGTTTGATTATTCAATAAATTGTACATATATCACTCTCGTAGATTTTAGCTAAGAGTATTTCACAACTTGATACATTGGAAAACAATAATAATTCATGTGTTTTATGATTCTGAAGAACTTAGGAAACATAGGGGTCTTTTCTTCTATCTTCTTTGCTAAGCTACTCTTTGAATTTTCTTTGGAGAATTAATTATTTTAAATAGTTACTTAATATGTGGAAGAGTTTAAGAATATGTGGGAAAGAAATAGCAAATTATCATTCTATATCTTTTTATCTAAAGCCATTTGAAATTGCTTACATATTACGTACTTTCCTCTTCTCCATTTTATAAAGTCATGAACTCTTAGACTCAACGTAAGTCTTAGGACATTATAAAAAACTGCAGTTTTATCACAGAATAAAGCTGGATTTACTCTGGAATTATACTTCATATAAGTATACAAATAATATTCAAAAATTATTTTTATCCTTAATGATTTTTCTATTTATTATTTAAATTAGTAATGTAGTAGAATTTCATTCTACTGAAAAATTTTATGCTTATTTTATCTTATAAATAGAAATAAAGGTAACCAAAAGACTTTGATTTCCAAGGAATAACTGGTACCTGGCAGTGCATGCCTGCGTAGCCATTGCTAAGTTTCTAGGAAGTCAGTATTATTTGAAAACTGTACAACTTTCTCTTCTTGATGCTAGTGACACCTTAGGTTATACTTACGTCTTTGTGAGTAAATACAATTGTTTTTGTTTACTAAGAATTTCTCAGATTGCAAATATTGAAATCTTAACCATTCTTAAAGAAACTACAAATAGATATTGTCCTTTTAAATTTATCTTTGTCAGTCAGGACTATAGCTCAGTGGCTCAGCACCTGCCTGGCAAGCACAAGGTCCTGAGTTTGATTCCCAGCACTAAATAACTAAATAAATAAATGTTTGCCTCCTGCAGTCTTGCCTTGTAAAGTTCTATTGCATCACCCAGGATCCTGGAAACCAAAGGTTCTGTGAGGTTATCACAGTGAAATTTAACTCCAATCCCTCCCAGCAAGAAACTTAACTGTGAGGATGTAAAATCTAGACCAGGAAGACAGGGTAATTTGATAAACTCCTTCACTGTTTCAGTGTATGTTTCTACCCATCTTGTGAAGTTTCCAAAAAACATACTTTGTTTTGAAAATGGTAAAACTTTCTGAAGCTCCCGGGGTAAGTTCATTGTCAAAATAGCAATTAAGAACTGATTCAGCCAATGTTCAACCAATAATTGTGTCCAACTTCATTCATATTTTTTCTATATTACTTTAAGGAAACATCTTTATCATCTTTATAGTGATCTCCTATAGTTAGAAATAAAGAAAAGTTTATCTTTTCAAACTTACCATATGAAATTGACTTCATAAATATATAAATCTTTCTTGTTAATTCTTGTAACTAAAGGCTTATATAATGTTGGTTGTTTTTTGATACTTCTGTATAGTAAATATGTTTTAGCAAATGGTTTAGTAAGCAATTTATGCTTACATATAGATAATCATAGCTTCACTGAGATAAAATCAGGCATAAAGTAAGCTTTTTATCAGTCACAAGGGGGCATGTTAGGGTAACAAATAAAAAGGAACAGCCAGTAATCCCACTCAACAGTTGTTTCTAATTTTAAAACAGTGGTCGTTAAGTATGCCCTGTTCGATAAAAATTCTAAATGGTCACTGAATAGTTTTAGTTATATAATTGTAATCCAGATTGTTTTGTCATTATTGTAAGATTTTGAATTTCTGTTTCACTGTTGTTTTATCAAAATAACATTAGATTAATAGAACAAATTTCAATTGTGAATACTTCGGTCTGAAGTTTAATCATGACTTTTATGCTCACCTTGATGTTTACTTTACTCTTGATTCACAACATATAAACAAATCAGAAATTTTAAGGAAAAAGTAAAGTAAAAAAAAAAAAAGAAAGAAAGAAAGAAAGAAAATCAAAGGAATCCTTTCCAGTTATCATATCACATTTATTTATTAGGTCGATGATATATCACATCACATTCACTTATTAGGACAATGGTATAGCACTTACATCATTTTGTCTGTAAGACTCTGGACCTGGAGTTTTCTTTTTGGAGAAACAAACATTTTCCTCTACCTTTTTAGTAATTTTACAATTCATTCAGCATGTGCTATGCCATTACTTTACCTGAATAAAACAATAGGCATTATTTTAAATTTTTATTCACTGATTTGGTAAACTTAAGTTTTAAATATTTAGATTCAGTTGAAACATTTACTAGTGAGTTTCAAGTCATTAGTAAACCAGTAAAATGTACTTTGTGTACATTTTTATCTGGCCAAGTTGCCAGCTCGAAATTTTCCCACCACCAGAGGACAGTATTGTCCATAAAACTGCTGACAGCAGCCGGCTGGGCTTGGGTCAGCAGGGAAGTCGGGGGAAGAATGTCAGAGAACAGAACTTAATCAAAAGGAGCAAACTGTGTCTTACATTCTGACAAAGCAGTGGCTTTCAGATGCAGAGTGTGGAAGCTTTCTTTCAGATTCAAATTGCTATAAGCAAAACTTAGGATAAGTTGCTCAGTATCAAACGTTGAATAATTTGTTTCTTTACATGTGTATCTTTTATTTTTATTAATCCAAGAGTATAAATGAACGATATTTTGTATAAGATTAAAATGCAAATAAGACAGAAAAGTGGTGTTCAATTAATTTACGAGAAAAGGATACGATGGGATGGGAGCAGTTACAGAAAGAGAAAGGAAGAATATTGCTGAAGGAGTTAAACAATAAACAAGGAAATGAGGGAGTATACAGGATTATTGGGGACTCTTGATGACTTCTGTTAGCATCGGGAAGCCATCTACGTAAGAGAGGGGGAGAAGAAGGAGAAGGGAGGGAAGAGGAATTATTGGAAGCCACAGGATGAAGTCTAAAATTGTTAGGAGTTATCATGAGTTACTCAGTTTATGTTTGGATTACGGTTGTTGTTTTTCGCAGTAAGCAAGTAATTGCTTTTCCCCTCATGATTGACATAAGCTTGAACCAATAATGACTGGTCTTGTTTTTGTGGGTTGTTTGTTTGTTTGTTTTTACTGTTCCCTTGTGTATGACAGTAATTTAAGAATTTAGTTAACTGCATTTGGGATTTAGCTGAAACGAAGGAAAATCTAGAATTCAGTAATGCAGGGGAGAATAGCATGTGTAAAGTGAGAGTTGCAGTTTTATTGAAAACATGCAAGGTCAATAACCCAGGGGTAGTGACCAGTCTTGGTAGCAAGGCTGAGATGAGCTGGATGAGGCAAAGGGTGGTGCGTGGTTTTGCTATGGAGCAGTTCTCAGAGAGGATGAGGTCAGAGTGGAGAAATTTTGGTGCAGAGGGGCTGGTAAAAAGTTTAATTACTAAGGACAAAGTATACAAATATAATATGGCTTTCTGACATTTATCACACTTATGCATACAACATTTAAAATATCATGAGTAAAGAAATAAAAGAACATTAGATAGACATTCTATGAATAACTGTGAACTGATCGAACAACAAATTAAATAAACATTACTAATACGTATTTGACAGTTTGTATGTATGTGACTGTAGTTTCTTAATTCTCTGTTTCTTGGGGAATTTAAATGAGTTAATAATGTGCCTTTTAAAATAGTAACATACAAAAATAGGTAATGCCAAATTTTTATATATAAAAAAACTGAAAATAAAAGTGAAATAAAATTCACATTTTAGAAGCTGAAAAGAATTATAAGCATGATAAAATGCTGCCTATCACAAACATTGTTACTTAAATGAGATGATGTATATAAAGTGTCACATACAGCTGAGGTATGTAACAGGAACTTGGTTTACTTACTTAGAGAGTTCGTGAAATACTTTGTAAAAGTGTTTTTAAAAGCTATTCCTGACACTGAACAAGCTGCACTAAAAAATAAAAAGGTTTAAAAAAAAAAAAAAACAGAAAAAGATACCATGAACCTCTGTTGATGAACACAGAGGAGTAAACTTAGTGTACAAAATTGACCTTACAATGTGTTAAAACTGTGTCATAACTGTGCTCTAAAACACCCTGATCTCCTAGCTTTCTTGATAATTTTTGTTTTGGTTTTGAGTACAATAATTCTGTCCTATTCACAGTGTTATTTCTAGGAATTAGCGAAATGAAGTGAGTTTTCCCCACATCTTAAATTATTGTGATTATTTCTTCTTACCATTATCCCTTTGCTATTTGAATTGTTTTAAATCGATTTAAGGTGATGCAATCAGAATGAATAAAGGATATTTATAATATAGTGATATTTATGAGCTCTTGAGGAATAAAATTATGTTGTTGAATAAGTTGAGCTGGACAAGTCTTGTAAATATTTTATATATATTAAATTGTTTGATCTTGATTGTATGAGCAAAGTAGTATTTTCATCCACTTTATATGTTAAGAAAACAAGTCATTGAGAGGTGACTATTTGCCAAAAAAATGCCAAAGAATATATATCCCTAGATTTATTTCTGTATGGTATATTGATTAAAAAGCAATGCAACTATAGATTCATCTATTTTTTATATATCTCTTCTTATAAAAAGATGCATTGTGCAAAAATATAATAAATTGGAAATATTAACCTTGTTTATCATGTAATTATATGTCTATTAGAATCTATTTGTTAAATGGAAACACTTATATGGGCAAGAGATTGGATGCTTTGCACATTATTTTTAAATTCCCCATAATACTTTAAGGTCAGTGTAATGTCTGATGGACAGAGGTAATGGCAAAGAGGGAAAGTACTTTGTTCAAACTCATACAAATGATAAAATAAGAACAAGAACCAAAGTGGGTTCTGTACAATTGTTTTGTTATTGCTCAGAAAATTCACAGCTGCAATATAACAGCCAGAACAGAAAAGGAGCAGCAGGATGGTTGTAAGGTATTGCAGCAGATTGTGACATACCGCAGATTGTAATCCCATGGAAATTTGTCTTTTGCGATGAAATAATTCCAATTTTGGATATACCAGTATTTCCAGTAAATGTTTTAGATGATTATATAATACTTTATGAAATATGTATAACAAGTTTAATTTTTATTGATAGTTCATATTGAATTAACATAGAAACATTTAACTATTGTACCACCTTACATTACATATACATATGCATGTATCCAAATATTGACTTGTATTTTTCCTAATCTTGAGAGGTTTAATATCTGTGAGACATGTAAATCATATGTTGAAAGAATAAATTATTAGCTTTCTAATTCTGGAACTGCAACTGCTACTCATTTTGTTTCTCTATGTTCTTTAAAAAGTATGATACACTTGCATCTAATTAAAATATGTAATTGCTAATTATAACTTAAACAATTATTCTGTTTAGCATATTCAATTCTATTACACTAGATATTCATCAAAGATTCCTAAATTCTCTTCCTTTTTGCTAGATGCCATAAGATACTAAGAAAACCTATACTCCTCTGAGTTGTGCTTTTATGTTACACTGTTAATGCATAGTTCTCCTCTTTTTATTCCTTCCCCCGTACTTAAATCATTACCTTCTTTTCTTTTAGTTCTTGAGCAAAATGCAGCAATACCAAATCCCAATTTCATGTTTTGTGCAGAAATTTATTACCAATAAGAAATTAAAGTGCCCATTATTCACAGTCATCTTATTTGTCAAGGCAATAGATTTAGATACTTCTGGCTTTAAAAATTATAGATAATTTATTCATCTTTGTCACAATACATTTGGGAAGAAGAAAAGCTATTATTTTGTGTAATAAGTGATTGAAAGTAATCTTTTTCTATTTGCTCTCATCCCATGAACTTTCTTGTTTCCGTCTCCTGTATTTTCATATTCTAGAGGAGAAAAAGCAGTTATACAGTTTCTCGTGTAATACCTTCCAACTCCTTATGCATTTACTGAAATTTTGCCAATTCCATAAAATATTATTAATTTAAGAAAGGAGCTAAGATAATAAATGTTAAAAATATCTTCACAAATTAAGGTCATAACTAGATAATTCACATATATTTTTAAAAATATTATTAATATCTCTTTCCTTATACTAAGCATTGGCTAGATGTTTAATCTTACAACCAAGAATATATGCACATAGTGATAAAATAACATCATCAATTTCATAAAGCCCTAAAGAAGTGTATTCTTAATACTACCATAAAAGATACATATGGTAAGATCAAAAAAAGAATGACCCAGAACTGATCATCACTTTTGTCTTTCTCTTTTTATCTAGATCCTATTGTACGCCTAGCATTATTCAAAAACAGTGAAAATAAAGTTTCTCTTACAAAATCATCAAAGAATGTACATACCAGAAGAAATGGTCACTCTGAAGGTATGGTTTAATAATGGATACAAAAAAAGATAAGATTGTACACATTGCATTCAAAATTCACGTTAAATCTTCAATAACCCATACAATGCACAAATGAAAAATATAAGAAAAGTCAGACTATAGACCCCAGGGTGGTAGTGCACACATGGAAGCTGAGACAGGCTTGTCATGAGTTTGAATCCCACCTGGGCTAAATAGTAAGTTCAAGGCCAGTCTCAATTACATAGTGAAAATCTGTCTTTAAAAAAAAAAAAGGAATAAAGGGCAAATATAGCCCTTAGAGCTAAAATACTAATTGTATTGTATTGATATATTTATGTGGAATTTAGTGTTTGTATTCATGCTTATGCAAATTTTAAATTGTTTGTAAATTTTTGTGAAAGTTTCATAATGCTTTAGTACCACTATTAGAAATGTTATTTACATATCACAGTGAAAGATAATATTAGCTTATATTAGTAGAATATAATTTTAAAATGATGGCCACATTTTAAAATGATATTTCAATAGGTGTACTTTGCTGGTAATATATAGGATATGCAAAAGTTGCATTAAATGCTCTAAGTAACACTCTAGAATTTTAAATTTTTTACAATATTTAAAGGTTGCCCAACTCACTTTTATAGTGAAGGACTAATATATCTAGATGACAGATAATATTTCAAATTTTTACATTCCAAAGCTATAGACTTTCATTATTAAATAGAAAAATATAAGTGCTATTTTGTGGCAAACATAACTTAAAATAAATTTGCCATTTCCTTTCTATGTATTATTAAAATTTTTAAAGATTTACCTATACTTTCGCATAGTAACTTCTAATAGAAAGAAGAAAGTCAAATATACTTGAATGGAAATGAACTATTTAGGAATGTCAATATTTTATCCTCTGTAAATTTTAAATAAATCTTATGATTGCAGAGAGATACATTTTAATTTGCCTTTCTGTTTTAGTTTATTTCAAATTAAAGAAAAGTTTAGTAACTATTGAATTTATTCTTTCATAAAAATAAGCTACTAAAATATGTAGGAATAGAATACATGGAATCAAGAATTTTATTTAATGTCCATAGCAATGAGCACATATATAGACAGATAAAGCATATGTGCACCACATTATTGAAATTATTGGATCAATAGGTGGGAGCATGCCAAGGTTTGTTTTCCATTCTACTTTTTAAATATTTAACAATTTCCATAACATAACATTTTAAAACCTGGTGTTCCTTGAACATGTCAAATCTCAATATTATTTTAAAATGTGTATGAGTTAATATTTTTTAGAATTAATGCATAGTGAAGGTTGAGTTTTAATCAAAATGTCTTTCCTTGTTGCAATCTTACCTTCATCCTTCCAGTTTTTAAAAGGAAAAGTAGAATTTCTGCTGATATAAGTGACAATTTGACAGGTATCACCTGCTAATTAGGAACTTGCTACCTGTTAAATAACACTTAAGAAAGAAATGGCTAGTGAAGAAATAATTTAGACATCTTCTAAAACTGAGAATTTCAACAGTTAACAGATTTAAATTTGGCTCACTGACTGTGTGTGTGTGTGTGTGTGTGTGTGTTTATAGTAAGGTAAATATCTCAGAATTAGACAGAACTTTATACTGACACGTTCTACTGTGTATTCCCATGTTCTATGAACTATGAAGTTATGTTACCTTCTAGAATAATACAATATGTATGTTCACAGTTACTAAATTGTGCACTAAATTAAAATGTGCTAAGAATAGTTCAAAATCATGATAAAGTGACTTGGAGAACATGGAACATTTTTACATACACTTAGTGTTTTTATTTTCTCTTCCCTATGTGAAAATGTTTTTTACTGTTTTGCTTTGTCATCTTGTTTTGGTTTGATTCTTTTGCAACTTCAAATGTAATGGACATTTCATTTACTTCACTGAATGAAATCCACGTGGATACCAGGTTTTCTAGTTACTGACAGTCACTTGAAGACTTTAAAAATGAAATACACTTTTCAAAAACTGTTCTATATGGAATTCCCCCAAATTATTATGTTTACTTTTACCTTTTTTTCCTCCTTAAGAGGAAAAGAGTGACATTAACTAATTTGCTGATTGGTGGGACCCTTAACAGGCCTTTGAGTAACTCACCTCCTAGGTTCTGGCTCTTTTTGGATGTCAGGAGGACATTTCCAAGACAGCTGCCTAAAGAATACCAGCTCCCTAGTAGAGGGTGCTTTGGGAAACCAACTCTTTTGAAATGCAAATGAATTATTACAGAACATACTTTTTAGAATACAACTCAGTGAATCTGAGTCACATAACTATCATCCTTATCTACACACAATTTTAGAATATTAGAAGAACTTACGTTACCATAAGAATATCAGGGCATCTGACTTCAAATGGGAGTAAATCAAAGTTAATTTTTCTATAGGTTCTGATTAAATGACTTCATGTAGAATTGTATCTCATTATAGTGTCATGCCAGCATTTATATAACTTCCTTAGTTTTGTTGAAATGAAATTGGAGTATTGAGTATTGCTTTTCCATTCATTTTATAGTGATATTTTATGAATTAGGAAAAAAAACCCCACTAAGTTAAAATGCTTTCTTTCTCCACTGTGCAGTAGTGACCACGTAATACTCCCATGATTCTTGCCAAAGATACTAAAATTCTTCCATTTTTATTGTGGTCTTTTTCTGGATATTAATAGCAAGATTAAAAAAAATGGTGGCTATCTCTGCTGGTCAAGGATGAAAATATATTTAAGAAATATATGATATAAAATATTAAGTAAGTAAAACCTGTCATTTTAGTAACCTATGTGTAACAAGGTATTTTTCTATGTCTCCATGTTTGGAAGTGTGGAAAACTTTTAACTTTCACCCTACTCAACACTGAGGAATGTTTGACCACCGTTGGCCCCATGATCCATGTGTTAGATATCGGTTCTTCTTCTAAAACTTCTAAATTTCAACAGTTAACAGATTTAACCGTGGCTCAGTGTGTGTGTGTGTGTGTGTGTGTGTGTGTGTGTGTGTTTATAATAAGGTACATATCTTACGATTGTTATCACCTATAACTGGTAACTGGTTCTTGAATTTAAATAACTGTATTTGTCTTAACATTTCAAACATTTCCTTATTTGTTGCCTAATTACCCCTACCAAATTTCCTCTTTGTTCACATGTTCACTTTGGAACTCTGACATCGCTCTACTATATGTGTCACTGGACTGCGTGTAAATGTAGACTTTGGAGTTTGTGTAACACAGTTCGAAGTTTATTTCTTTACTCTTATTGAATTATATTCTAAATGTCTATAAGTATAAGTAGCAAACCAAAGCATATATGTTTAAATGTTTATTGCATACCATTGAACTGTTCTATCAAAAAGTTCCTTTGCTCACCCACAATTCTTTGTGGTGAAATGTTTGCAGTCTATTGTTATTTTAAAATATGTAATACATTATTATCAGCTATAGTGACTACTGTGCAGTTAATCTTAAAACCTGTTCCTCTTGCCTATCTTAAAATTTGGCCCTTTGATCAACAATTCCCATTTTGTCTCTCCCTGTTCCTGGTCAGCCTCTGGTAAGCATCATTTTACGCTCTGTCTCTGGTAACCATTCTCTCAACCTTGGCCTTTAGTAGTCATCTTCTACTCACAACTGCTGTGAATTCAACTTTATCAGGTTCTACATACGTGCAGGGTGATCTGGTATTTATTTTACTATGCTTTGACTTTTTAAAATTTATTTTTTTACTACATAAGCTTGTTGTTAAAGTACTCCAGTTATTCATCTTGTTACAAATGACAAGAATTCCGCCTTTTTAAAAGCTATATCATATTATGTTGTGTATATATGCTATATATTTTCTTTATGCTTTCATCTGTGGCTGGACAATTAACTGTTTATGTGTCTTGGGTATTGTGAATAATACTTTATTGAAATGGATCTATAGACATCTCTTTGACATCCTGATTTTGTTCTTTTTGGATGTACCTGATACAGGGTTTCTAGGTCATATGATAGTTCTGTTTTTAGTCTCTGAGAGATTTCTGTGTTGTTTTTCACTGTGACTTTTAGTAACTTTTATTCCTACCAACAGTGTACAACAATTATTTTTCTCCTCACAGTGGCTGATACTTATTATATTCAGTCTTTTTTATCACAACCATTGTAACTAGAGTGTGTTGATATCTTATAATAGTTTTTAATTTTACTTCCTTGATGATGATGGCATTCAACTTTTCTTTTAAATGTATCTCAGCCATTTATATGCCCCTGTTTAATAATGAATATTCAAGCCCTTTGCCCATTTGTAATTGTGCTATTTAATTTTCTGCTAAATCGTTTGAGTTGTTTGAGTTTTTTGTATATTTTCCATATTAAACTTTTAGAAGATACATGATTTACGAATAACTTCTAACATTCGGTAGACTGTTTCATCATTTTCGTAATTGTGCTGTGGAAAACCTTCTTTATTCTGTGTAATCCCACTTGTCTATTTTTGCTTTTGTTGCCTTTGTTTTCTAGGTCAATTATAAAAAAAAAAAAGAAAAAACAATCATGTGACTGACCAATGTCTTAGAGCTTTTCCCCTATTTTCTTTTAATGGTTTTATGGTTTTTCACTTACTGAAGAAATTGTCTGTTCTCCATTATATGTTCTTGGAACTTTTCTCAAAAATCAGCTTAGCATAAATCTGTGGCTTAATAGATTTTCTCCCCTATTCCATTGGTCTGCATGTCTGTTTTATACTGTTTACAGTCACTTTAAAATATATCTTGTCATCAAGGAATATTATGTTTCCAGCTTTGTTGTTTTGGCTTAGGATTGTTTAGCTAGATGGCATCTTTTGTAGTCCTATATAGATTTAAGGAGGTTTTTTTTTTCCCATTTCTGTGAAAAATGACATTGGAACTTTGATGAGGGTTGCATTGAATCTGTAGATTTCCTTGTTAGTATGAATGTATTGATAAAACTAATTTTTGTAATCCTTAGGTATGGGATTTTTTCC